CAGTGGAGGACCAGTGAGACATCGGGTCCCCTATGGGATGTAAAAAAAAAACCCAAAGTGGTTGTTTTTGTGGTTTTTCTTTTAACCACTTCAAGTCTGGACACTTTTACCCCCTTCCTGTCCAGGCCAATTTTCAGCTTTCAGCGCTGTTACACTTTCAATGACAATTGCGCGGTCATGCAACACTGTACCCATATGAATTTTTTTTTTTTTTTTTTTTTGAGAAAGATAAAGCTTTATTTTGGTAGTATTTATTCACCACTGGGATTTTTTTTTTTTTTGCTATATAATTGAAAGTCCAAAAATTTTGAAAAAAAGTGTTTTTCTTATACAATATTGCAAATAAATAATCTTTTTTCATAAATCTTGGCCAAAATGTATTCAGTTATCTTTTTCGTAAAAAACAAATAAAAACCCCAAATTAGTTTATAACCAAAAATTATAATTTTTTTTCACATTTTGTATTTTTTTTTTTTTTTTTTTTTTTTTCATACTGTCACCCTAGCAGTAAAGTGTCACCATGGTGACACTGTACTACTTGTGGGGGGCTATGCAGTTTTTTTTGTTTACACTGATTGCTTTTACATTCATAAAGGCTGTAAAAGCAATCATTTCTCCTCCTCTCTAGCTGCATTCTTGCAGCCATTGAGAACTACTGTGTGAGCTGTGATTGGTCACAGCTTGCCACATGGTACAAGGCTATTGTGAATAGCCTTGTACCATGTGACCTCTGTGATCATTCAGATTTCACATGTAGTAAGCAATGTCAGAAGTGACCTCTTGCTTACTAATCTTCATGTGATCACTGATTGGCCAATCGGTGATCACATGATCGGGAACTCGCACAGAGGTCCCCGTACAACGATCGGTGTTCCACTATGTCCGGAGGACACAGCGGCACCGGATTGAGGTGCTGTGCGTACAAGCAGGGGGCGGGGAGGCCGTTTATAAATGGCCACCCGCCCCTGCACTGCCACCGTCCGGCCGCTTATACAACAGCTGGATGGGAAGTGGTTAAAGTCTAACTCCTGCCAATTTCTGAGTGATGTTGAAATTTGCATAATGAATCCAGGCTTTAAGGGCTCTCTGGGTGCAGCTGGACAAAGCGTTCCCTCCCCCAGAGGTGGCAGATAGGGGATGTCTGTGAGTAGAAATACCCCATTAATCTGAAGGTTGGACCCTCGTACAGATACCTCTGACCAAGAATTGTTCTGTGCCACAACACTGATGACCTTTTTTTAGCATGGGCCATGAAAAACTAGTGATGTGATACTTATCACTTCTTATTGCCATAACTCTGACCAGTATGAACTGGCACCAGTTTTAAATGTTCATGCATCAAGTATCTTCTTGTGGGTACTAATCTACACTGCATGGTTTTGTAGGCTCACTGTCGCAGCCTGAGTTTTTGGAAGTGTAATGTTCATGTATTACTTTTTTAATTTAATTTATTTTTAATTTTCTTGCTCTCATAGGATGCAGAACTTGAAAAGATTACCAGAAGGTTTACTATAGAGCTGGCAAAGAAGGGATTTATTGGTAAGTTCCTTCTCTGCATGTTGTTTGCTACCACCAACTGGTCATGTTGTGCAAATGCAGTTTTTTTTTATTTTTGCTGTGTGCAGGATTTTTTTTTTCTTTCTTTCTTTAAAGGAGACTTGGATTTGTTTGAAAGTGATCCTTTAAAGTGAACCATTGTTGTTCCTTTTTGTAGGCAGAGCAACAAGCTCAATCATTCCTCCATGACACTAAAACACAGATGACATGAAAGTACTTGCATTTTGCAGTCAAGTCCAGTCACATGATTCTGCAGCTCTGGCTCCCCTGTGTAAGGGCTCTGTCACATTGGCCACAATGCTAACTGCCTTCTGAAAAGTGATCCACAATAGATTGCTTTTTCAAAGGGTGCTATAGCAGTGGCTAGCAGGTGTTCAGGAGGTGCTGCTGCCACCTCATGATATGTGCTGTGAGCCAACATTTCTACTGCAACCCACAGCTGACTGTGAAAGATCCCTATGGTAGGGCTTGACATCGGCTGTGAAATCCCAGAGCCATGATGTCACCCACCTGCTCCTATTACCCCTCTGTTGTCAGCTTTTTTTCCTTTCCCTGCAGCAGTCACTCCTTGATACAAGGAGGCCAGAGCTACAGGTTCATGTGACTGGACTAGGCTAAAAAATGAGTAAGTACACAGCCTTTTTTAAAGGGTAATAATCATTTGTATAATCATTTCCTCTGTGGGAGCACCAAAAAATAACCAGCCCTTTAAATTTCCATTCGCCTGCTCGCATTTGGAATGGAAATAAAGTGGGGGCAAGTGTGTCCAAGAGAGCAGGGCTGGCTGGGGAATAATGCACTGCCTCTGATGTACCCTGGATGGGGCATCTACAGGGCCGCCATCGGGAAGAGGGACGACCCATACTCATGTAGGGGTCCTGGGTATCCTGAGGAGTTCACTTTCTGCATGCTCAGACCCTTGTTCCCTTCCCTTTGTTCAATGGGGGTGCTACTGACATCCCCCCCCCCCCATGGAGTGAGGGGAATACTGATGCAGGAGGAGGGGGGGGGCCAGAGATTACATGGGCAGTGTGCCCTATGACTGGATACAGGCGAGTTTACCAATACTGTCTGCAATATATCATTTTAGAACACAGGTTATTTCAAGTTCAAGCTTTGTCATGTGCTGCTCATAGTGGCTCTGTGGTCCACCATTCTTTATGGGAGCTGTGTGCTGGGGGCAGACTGAATCCATAGAGGTTTATACACTTATCATCAACCACCAATCCTGGGCCAGCTTGCGCTTAATAACCAGGGGTTTCCACCACTCCTTCACTCTCATGACTCAGCTTTAAGTCGGGTCACCCTTTCATGCAGCACTGCTGCCTCTTCTCCTTTATATCTCAGTCATGCAGGGTGGGGTAAAGACAATAAAAACCGCCATAGTGTAAAACCTCTGACCATCTCCCGTGCTATGTCTGCAGTCTCTGACCATCTCCTGTGCAATGTCTGCAGTCTCTGACCATTTCCTATAGTACGTCTGCAGTCTGTTTAGATGGGACTGGAGAAGGAGGGCCTGGGATGGAGAAGATGTTTACATTGCTTTGTTAATATTGTTAACATACTTAAATGTCTTCTGCAGAATAAAGTTGCAAAAATAAATATTAAGTGTCATTTCATGAGGACGTGTTTAGGGTAGGGGTTGGGCGAGACAACTGGTGGCGAGTTACTCTTAAGGCCTGGCTAGTAGCCCAGGACTTGCAGTTTTTGATCCCTGAAGTAACCATGGGAGGGTATCTCTATTTGCCAGCTTGCTTATGATTCCAGGGAAATCTACTGTGGATGAATTAAATGTAGCTGTATTCTACTTCTATTCCACAGGGCCTGGTATTGATGTCCCTGCTCCAGATATGAGCACCGGAGAGAGGGAGATGTCTTGGATTGCAGACACCTATGCCAACACAATTGGACACACTGTAAGTTCGGCTCATTGTGATGTTTGTGATTTATTTATACTCCAATATGCATTTCTATTTAAAGAATTAGATTAACAGAACATTGATCCAGTAGTTTTGCCTTTTTTTTTTTTTCTTTTTTTTTTCTCTTTTCTTTATTAGAAATGCTTCTTGCTCTGTGGGGTTCTTTCTGTATAGGTGACGTTGGATATTTTATCTTTTTACTATAGGATATCAATGCACATGCATGTGTCACAGGGAAGCCCATCAGCCAAGGTGGCATCCATGGACGTGTTTCTGCAACTGGCCGAGGTGTATTTCATGGCATTGAGAACTTCATCAATGAGGCTTCATACATGAGCCAGCTGGGAATGACTCCTGGGTTCGGTGATAAAACATTTGTTATTCAGGTGATTTTATTTCTAGTGAAGAATATATTTTATATCGGACACATCAATCGAGGCTTTGTGTTGTCCAAAACGTCAAACTTTATATGTATTCTTTTTTTAAGATCAGTTAGTTTTGGGTCACGCCATAGCTTGTACTATACTGCAGAAAAACCCTGAGAACCCCCTGGAGTAGGAAAATTAGGAAAAAATCCTGAGAGAAGCACCCCCCTACATCCAACAATGTGGTGCTTTGGCAACTTGTTGAGAGGCACATGGCTTGGTGGGATACGTAAAGTATTCTATGGACAGATTGGCACAAGGCATTTCTTAGTATTTGCTTGCATTGTTGAACAGTAGAGATTTCCTTTTTATACTTGAAGGTAGGCTACAGGTGTTGGGCTAGTGTAAGGATGTAATCGTAAAGTGGTGTTATTGGTGGTTGTGGGTTAGGTTGAAAGTTTAAGTGCCATAAATTGTATTCTTGGGATGATGCTCTATAGGAGGCATTGTCCAGTTTTCACTGCTGCCATTGTCCTGCGTCTGTCTACTGTTGGTAAACATAAAATGCATCTTTTGCAATGAGGAAAAATCTTAAGATACCAGCAATGTAAATATAAATGGAATAAACCACTAGTAGAGCTTTTGAGGTGTATTTTGTGCCGTCATAGGCCTCATGCACACTGAAGCTCAAACTTCTGTAGCAAAAAAAAAAGAAGTTTTTAGAATCAAAAACATGTTAAAAAGCTGTTTTAACGTGGTGCTCCTGCATCTGGCGTTAATATATTGCATTGCCAGAATTCTGGCTATTGTAATGCATTCTAATGCACATTTTTCGCTTTTGAGTATTTTTTTTTTTTTTTTTTTTTTTTTTTTTATATGCCCAAAAGTTCCTCTCCTCCTGGGGTTTTTTCTTCTGTAATCTCTCTAGCCACCAAACTCCTAAAAATGCTTAAAGTGTGCATGGATACATAGGCTAACATGGGGGAGACTTAACCGGCAGAAAAAATAAAAGCTCAAACTGCTATAGGGGCAGCTTCTTTGAGCTGCAGTGTGCACGGGGCCCCTGTGTAATCCTCAACCCAAATAATGCAATCCTTGTGTTTAACTATTGTGGCTCCTTATCTCTTTCCAGGGATTCGGTAATGTAGGTCTACATTCTATGCGTTACCTTAATCGTTTTGGTGCAAAGTGTGTTGGAATTGGTGAAATAGATGGGACAATCTGGAATCCTGATGGCATTGATCCAAAAGAACTTGAGGATTACAAGTTGGTGAGTAATTCATATGTTTATTTATTATAGGTACTTATATAGCGCTGTCAATTTGCGCAGCACTTTAAATATATATATTGAACATTCACATCAGTCCCTGACCCTCAAGGGGTGTACAATCTAAGTCCCTAACTCACATTCATACATACACATACTAGGGCCAATTTAGACAGGATCCAATTAACCTACCAGCATGTCTTTGGAGTGTGGGAGGATACCAGAGTACCTCGAGGAAACCCCGCACAGGGAGAACATGCAAACTCCAGGCAGGTGGTGTTTTTGTGGTTGGGATTCGAACCAATGACCCTAGTACTGCCAGGTGAAAGTGCTAACCATTTAGTTGTGTAGCCCACAATGTTTACATCTTGATATAAATAAACAGCGCAAACCTAGACCTCTAAATACAATCAATATATAAAGTGCATACTAATATATCGTAAATCATAATAATAGTGAAAATGTAAACACCAAAAGTTCGTGAAATATATAAAAAATATCCGTGTAAAGATAAGAAATCCAAAATTCTTCAGATGCAAAGAAACTTCCACCTTCCACCCGTGCAAACCAACATCAAATACACTCACCACATTTTTGGTGAATGAGATGCCTTTTAGGGATTTAAAGGGATCCTAAGCCCTCTTTCGTATCCGCTCTATAGGATTCCTCACCATCAGAATAGGCTCCTCCATTCAACCAGGGGAATATTCACCCATTCACCCTAAATATGGGTGTTCTATGTTCTAAAAGGTGAGCTTGGCCCTTTTATAAATGATCAATTCTTCTTAAAGCAGAACTACACTGCATCTGAGCACCGCAAACCAAAAGCACTATTTTAATTCATTTTTAATATTAAAAGCAAACTCGCCCATCCATCCAGGTTTCCATTCTTTATTTTGCTGAGAAATAACTTACATAAGCACCCTCCTAGCATTTCTGTCAGTGGCCATCTTGAGTAAGGGCAGATGATTCGTATAGCATTTACTTCCTAGAATCCATCTGCCCTTAGCTCAGGCATGCTGGCAGGAGGGTGTGCTTAGCTGAGAGGCTCCTGGGATGTATGACATCATTTTTCCCTTGGCATGGAAACCAGGAAGTATCTAAAGAAATTTTAAAACCAGTAAATATGATATGCTGCTAACATTAGTAAAAAGCTAGGAAAAGTATAAGGATTACAAATAGTCACTGTTTGAGAGGGTGAAGTTTCACTTTAATTACTGGGAAGGCCAGAAGCCCATATTGCAGAATTTTTTTTTTTGATCCACTGAGCAGGTACCTGTGAGATAGAGAAATATATATATATATATATCACTTTATTTTTTTTTTTACTTTCTGAGCTCCTGGGTATTAACAGAACTTGGATGTTCCATTATGCTGATATTAACCACAGTCTGGCCCACTTGGACATAGTTTAGTTTTCCTGTTGTCTGCAGAATGTGATACATGGCCTCTTTAGTTGGTATGGAGATGAGCCAGGAGTCAACCATGGAAGCTGTGGTTGATAATTGCTTGAAAGAACACTTGGGTTTTTAGGATACTTGGGTCTTCTGGATATAAGGTGAGGATGAAAGAACCACCCAAAGGTGCCTGTTCTGTGGACATAAATACATTTGCTAAAAAAAATCCATGCAGTTCATTTTAATGAATCCTAATGGCTGTTTTTTATTGGCAATGAAAATGGTGTTGTGTAAGGTGTGCGGTTTACCACACGGTGGCGCTGGTTTCAAACATTTGTTGCTTTTACTGCGTCTCCATATTTGCTGGAAAAGTAAAAGTTGGGAACTAATACAGCTAATACTGTGGAGCATGTGTATTCGTATAGGTGTAATAAATATCTTTTTTTATGCTTACATTTTGGCTTTCAATTGCTTTAACAGCAACATGGAACAATAGTTGGATTCCCAAAAGCTCAGGCTTATGATGGGAACATCTTGGAGGCTGACTGCGACATTCTAATTCCAGCAGCCAGTGAGAAACAGCTAACAAAATCTAATGCACATAAAATTAAGGCAAAGGTATAGTAAATATCTTAACAAATAAAAAAAAAAAAAACTGACTTTTTTTATTCTTATATTGTCTTAACCATTGTATTAACATTTTTATAGATTATCGCTGAAGGAGCCAACGGTCCCACAACCCCAGAAGCTGACAAAATCTTCCTTGAGAGGAATATAATGGTCATTCCAGTAAGTGATACTTTTCACTTTTAAGCACCTAGTCCTGTGCAGATATGTGATGTATCAAATTTTAACACCAGGTGTTTAACACCAGGCTACCATTGCTGACCTTTTCTTTTCCAAAAATGCTGTGTTTCATGCTGACCCTTGCTTCCCAACTGACATATACTGACTGGAACAAGTGTGTAGGTTAGACCATCTGATTTTTCCAGTTCTGAAAACTTGTCCCTGGGTTAGTGACTTGAGGCTCTGAAGCCAATGGTTTAGAAGAAAAGGGGCAACTGTGTTGTGGTTGTTTTTGTTGTTTGTGTGTGTTTTTTTTTTTTTTTTTTTTTCTCCCCCCCCCCCCCCCCCCCCCCCCCTAAGGACAAGCAAAGAGCACCCCCCCCTGTCTTTTTACCATTCCAAGTTGTCTTTGAACAAAAAAAACATGTCAGGCCCTTGTTATGCAAAAGGGAAGATTATTATTATTATTTTATATAGTGCCAACAGTTTACTCAGCACTTTACAATATAAAGGGAGACAATACAGTTCATAAAAAGTGTAACCCTCTTGTACATTGTGCTGGTGTTAACAAATCTTAAGGCAGTGTGGTGTGTGTTTTTTTTTTTTTTTTTTTTTTTTTTTTTTTTTCCCCCGAGACCAGCAGCACAGATGTAGATTGTAGACATACATTTTGTGCTACCAGATAGAACACAATCTTTCATCTTTCTTTTGCTGTCACCTAATTTTTTTCTATTTGTGTTTTGGAATGTTTTATATAATGTTCTTGTAGCTGTAAAGGTATGTAATGCTATAAACCTGTGATGTGTGTTTTTTAAACGTGACATTTTTATCTTCATTTTAGACTAAAATTGTTCTGAACACAAACCTTTTTTGTTTTGCAGGACCTGTACTTGAATGCTGGTGGTGTAACTGTGTCTTATTTTGAGTGGCTGAAGAATCTCAATCATGTGAGCTATGGTCGCTTAACCTTCAAATATGAGCGGGACTCAAACTATCATTTACTCAGTATGTATACATTGTCATAAAATGATGATTTGTTCTTTTCATCAGACTAGTCTACTAAGTTCTTCTTTTCTTTTAGTGTCTGTCCAGGAAAGCTTGGAAAGGAAGTTTGGGAAACATGGTGGATCTATTCCAGTGGTGCCAACAGCAGAGTTCCAGGCTAGGATATCTGTATGTGATACTTTGATAGTATTTGCCACAACTTTAAGCCATGATGTGTTATCACTTGTGCACATATTTACATAAATGAATAAAACATAGCTTTTCTCCTTTCCTTTTGGGCCATCTTAATCATGTAGGCAGACATTGGGGAGTGCAGGTAAAGTAGGTATTGGAAGTGACCAGATTTTCGGTCATAAATCCAGAAGTTGCACAGGCGAGGCTTTTTAGGCTACTGCAGCCATGAGTTGTTTTTTAACCACTTGAGTTGCAGGCTGTTTTTATTTATATATTTATATATCTATATCTCTGTGGACGACAAATGATTAAAGTGTAAACCCTACCGCTTTAAGAAAAAAAAAAAGTTAAGTTAAAGGTTAATTTCACCTTTGTAACATAACTTATGTGCATCACTGTTCATATATGTTTTTGTCCAATGTTGTATATTGATTTATTATGTGTATAAGTGCATTTTTACACTTTTTTTTTTTTTTTTAGACCATTTCAATTTCTGATATTTCATATGTGCATATTCATTTTATTTATGATATTTTTTTGGTGGGCTGTTATAGGGTAGTAGCGCCACATTGTTTTTCTTTGTTAATTCACGGTTTGTCATTAGGTTTGTGACTGAATGTTGGCAGCTTTACCTCAGTGATTAGTATATAGGGACCTAGTTAGGCGCGCAGGAGGTCTGTTACATATTAACCTTTTGTAACATGTTGCGTGTTACTCCCATATTTAGGGAGTAACCTGTTACGATTGGACTGGGCCCCGCCAGAATCTACTTCTCCCTGCTAGCTGTCACAATGTTTAAAGAACGTTGCCATGCAGGGTTCCGCCCGCCTGGCCGGCCATGTAACTCATTCACAGTATTCTTTGAATGAGAACACTAAAAGTTCCGACAGCCTTTGCAGCTGTTGGCTTGTAGTTGCCAATGAACTTCCATGGCGTTGTGGAGTGCTGTTGTAGTTCATTGAGTCTTCCTGTCAGTATCTACTTGCCCATACGAGCAAGTAGATGGTGACAGGTCAGAGGGAGACCTGCATGGCAAAAACCTTACCTGCAAAAAAAAATGTGCATTTTTATTGTGTTTTTTTTTTTTTTTTTTAAAGGTGAGCCTACAACAAACTGAAGTGTAAGATAGTAGTGACCAATCCAGATGGTCTTACTCCCCTTTTCTTGCACCATGCTTGTAACTTGGTGCACCCTGTTCCCCATCACACTGCAGGCACCTTGTCATGCAGTCGCAGATACTCAGAATTAATGAACTAAAAGGCCCATCTGCCACCGTAGCGTACAGACTTGTAGTTCTCAATGTGATACAGAAGCAGTGATCACTGCACTCATTGTCCATTGACATTTCCTCCAGCTCTCCAACTGAAAGTCAGTATGGATGTGAAGTTGGAGAGAGTCTGCGGAAGCCTGGCATTGCATTCGTGGTTACTGATTGCTGTTGCAATGCTTTTCAGGCTGATTGGGGAAAAAAAATGTGTGTCTGTCAGTCTTTTATTTTTGTAAAGACTTAGCCTTTATGCATCCTGTTGTAAGCTGACAAGACTGCTTTTAGACATACAGAATTTAAGGATCAGTTACTTGTTTTCTTTTAATAATGCGTTTTTATAATGGTTGCTTTCTTTTCCAGGGCGCTTCTGAAAAAGATATTGTCCACTCTGGCTTGGCGTATACCATGGAAAGATCAGCAAGAGTAAGTTTAACAAATACATATATGCAATACAATTTTTAAATGTAAAGTTCTTTCAGCTCCAGAAAATGTACCCCCTTCCTGACCAGTTTTCTTTTTGTGATACAGCGCAGTGTTACTTTAACTGACAATTGCATTGTCATGTAACACTGTACCCAAATGAAATTTTATGTCTTTTTTAAATGTCCTCCCCCTTCCCTCACAAATAGACAAATAGATTTTTTCTTTTGGTGGTTTTTGATCACTTCTGCAGTTTTTTTTTTTTTTTTGCATTTTTAGAAAAGACTGACCATGTAAAAAAAAAAAACAAAAAAAAAACAATATCTTTTTTATTTTCTACTATAAAACTCATCCAATTAAAAAAAAAAAAAAAAAAAAAAATTCTTAAATTTAGGCCAAAATTTATCCTGCTACCTATTTGTGCAAACTAATCAATATACGATTTATTAGGATTTTTGTTAGCATAAAGGTTAGTGTCTACAAACTACGATACATATACTGGAATTTTATTTATTTTATATTAATGGCGGTGATCAGCGACTTGTAGTGGGACTGCAATATTACTGCAGACATTTGTAAACCTAGGCACAGCTCTGTTTTTCGTCCCTGCCCAGTGATCTACGGGTGCCAGCAAAGATTTGTTTGCCGGGACTTGCAGGTCTGCTTCTGCTGTGACCGTTCACAGCAGAAGCGATCTGCCTGCGGTGCACACGTGCCCCAGTGAGGCGGAAGTGCAAAATAGCCTGAGTGTGTATATACGGGATATTGCACAGGAGAGCCACCCAGTAGGAGTAAACCTGCTATAGGGCGGATGTATAGTGGTTAATCATTACAAAGTTTAGGCCTAAAGATGAAGACCCATGTCTAAGTTTAGAATCGTCTTTTACAATTTGAGTTGTATATTAACCGCCTCCTGCCCGCCATGTAAGGAAATGATGGACAGGCGGCGGTTCTCTTATTCTGAGAGGACGTCATATGACCTTCTCCCAATCTAACCGTGTGTGCGCACAAGGACATGCCAGTTATCGTTATTCCTCTCCTCACGAGCTGTCACACTGACTGCTCGTGAGGAGAGAAGAGCCGGTAATCTGCATTCCTCGGAGGGGACATGTACACTGATCATTGGGTCACTGATCAGTGCCTACAGTGCACATCAATGCCCATCTGAGCAGCCTTTCAGTGCCGCCTATCAGTGTTGTATATGAGTGCTGCCTTTCAGTGCCCATCAGTGATGTCTGTCAGTGCCATCTACCAGTTCCTCCTCATCTGTACCCATCACTGCAGCCTATCAGTGCGCCTCACTGCAGCCTCATTAGCACACAACAGTGAAGGAGAAAAATCCCTTATTTACAAATAATATAACCAAAACTAAAACTTGTTTTTTTTTTCTTTTTTTCAAATTTTTATTTATTCAGTTTTTTTTTTTTTTTTTGCTTTGTTTGGCAAAAAATAACACCAGGGGTGATTAAATACCACCAAAATAAACTGTCTTTGAAGAAAAAAAAAAAAATTTGATAAAAATTTCAATATGAGTATGTTGCATGACTGCTCAATTGTCATTCAAAGTGCGACAGTGCTGAAAGCTGAAAATTGGCCTGGTCAGGAAGGGGGTATAAGTGCCCGGTAGGCAAGTGGTTAAATCACTGCCTGCCTACTGCCTTATGTGTCCTTTTGATTGTTTTATGTCGAGATTGTCACCTTTTTCTTAAAATGCTAACTCTTGAGCCTAGTTTGCCAGACATATAAAACAAAATGACCACCTCACACTCTCAATCGCAAAATAAAATGTTAAGTACATTGTAGTGCTATAAACTAGAATGATAGTCCTAAACATCCCTCCCTCCCATTCCTCAAGGATTGGTATTGGTACATCAAAAAAACTCAGCATTGGTGTTCAGTGGTTTTACTTACTATACCTGCTCTTGCCATGCTCCCTCTTTCCCATGCTGCTGCATTATGCACTCTGCTGAAACTTAACTGTCGGGCAAGAGATCCCAAGCTGACTATACATACAGTAAATCTAAAGCCGAAAGGATACAAATTGCATAGTGGCTAATGGCAACAAAGCAGCGGAACTCTCAGTACAACGCAATTATTTTTGCACACAGAACACTTTTCATAATATAGAACAGATAAGGCATTAGCAGTGCCCATTGGCAACTGCCTTTCATGTGTACAGTGTGAGTGGTATTACAGAGAACATAGTAGGAGACACATGTATATATATAAAACTGCAGCATCCCAACTTGTCCTGTGAGCCATCTGAAAGTAATACTTTTGCCACTTTGGTTGCTGACCCGTGGTCTCCAAACTGTGGCCCTTTTGCTTGCTTTGATGCGGCCTTTGGGGCACTATTCCTCCCACTGACAGACAATGGGGCATGGTCTCTTCCTACTGACATTGAGACCCTTTCTGCTCCCAGTAGCTGCAGTCTGGCCCCCCTAAAGTCTGAAGAACCGTAAACTGGCCCTTTGTTTAGAAAGTTTGGAGCCCCCTGCTCTAGGTGATCCCCAGATGCATCGAAGATCTATTAATGGAGCTCTGTATGTTAAAAAAAAAAAAAAATAAAGCATTATCTCTTAGGTGGATGCAGCATCAGTCCTATGCTGCATCTGTCCCACTCAGCCTCTAAGAATGACAAGTATGTAATTAAAGATCTTCGTCATTGGCTCTCTGCTCTGCCCCTCCAGAGCTTACTGAAGCTCTGGGCTGTGGAGGGGGTGGGAGCGGTTGGCGCTGGCTGTCAGCGGCACGCCTCAGCCTGTTATTGGCTGAAAATGGGATTCCAAAGAGAAGTAGAACAAAGACCCTCGGCCCTGGGCCAAAAGTCCCTTGGCACTGCTTCTCCTTAAGTCTCCGAGTTTGACCTTGTATTAGCCTCTTGCAATGCTGGAGTTTAGCCTTGAACTATCTGTCTTGCTTGTGACCTGAAAACCTATATTGTGTCTAACACTCTGTAACCTTCTATTTCAGCAAATTATGCGCACTGCAATGAAGTACAACCTGGGTTTGGACTTGAGAACTGCTGCCTATGTGAATGCTATTGAGAAAGTGTTCAAGGTCTACAACGAGGCTGGCCTGACCTTCACATAAATATCACAACATATGCTGGATTGTAGTTTTCACCCTCCTTTATATATGTATAAAAAACAATCTTATATAAGTTTACATATAACCACAAGACTTCAATTGTGCTCTTCCTCCTGCCTCGCAGAGGACCCGCTTTTGAATGCTTCCGTCCATATCTTTTTCTATTTTAACGTTACACCATTGGTGTATACATTGTCCTAAAAGCATAGGAGCATAATGTGAGCATCACATTTAGTGGCCTTGCAGATACCTTGTTGACACATGAAGGTGTTATGTTGTGCATTTTTCTCTGGGCATCAATTTATTTTGAATTGTGAGCATGGCAGCAAGTAGAGTGCAACTACCACATACTTAACTTCCTGCTTGTTTAACAGTTTCTCCAATTGATCTGTCTGTCTATGTGGTTACGTTTAAGGTGCCTCTGCCCCCCTACTCCTACCAATTCCCCAAAGCCTTTTCAGTGTAACATACTCTATTCAGGGCATCGTAGTACCAGAGGCAGAGATTAATGACACTGTCTCTGTCATGAGGAGTCTATTTTTGAGAACTTTTTTCAGGGAAGACTTTCCATAAATGCACTTTGTGGAGTGGGGTTGGTCCTGCTTCAAGTGTTTTTTAGGAGAGTCTGTTATTGGTTTGCACATTGACTCGGCCACCTTTTTTAAACCTGTTGCTGCTGAAATAGATTTTTTTTTTCCTGTTTCAGATCTAGTCTGAATCACTTCCTGTAAATATTAGTCATTGTCACACAAACGCAACGTAATGCATACTTTTTTTTTTCTTCTTTCAATAACCTGGAGCTGTATGCTAAAAGGTTTATGCCATAGTGACTGCTGGTGCATCTCGACCTGCAGTGTGCTCATTATTTGAGGAAAACTTTTTTTTTTTATTACTTCACAAAGCTTTTTATATTAACTTTTTTTTTTTTTTGTTTTTAAAGTATTTAGACTGGTTGCTTTAAGCAATTTTATTACATTAGTCACTCATGGATTATACTCTTCCACAAGCTCACAATCTATCGGTTTTAAGCAATGTTCTCCCAGTTGAGTTTTTTTTTTTTTTTTTTTTTACCACTTAAAGGCCTTGCATTCAACAGAAGGGTTTCTACAATGTTCTGCCACTGTAGTTCCAAAGATGTTTGTCACAGAACTTAGAATTTTGATCAAATGCTGTAAATTAAAGTCCTCCTTTACAAAATGAGTTTGATGGGTTTTAATGACAATTGTATGCATTTAATATCACTGATCTGATCTTTTGTTTTGATGTAATGTAATGTTTGCCCTCTAAAGCCTTTTATAATATCTCACCTAACTGACTTGACATCAGCTGTCAAAAACCGCAAATTATATCCCATATTTAGTGACGTCAATATCTGACAGAAGGGCAGGAGCAGTGGTGTATTTAGGTTTTGTGCTGCCCTAGGCAACACAAAAATCAGATGCCCTCCCTGGTGGAGAGAGCCTGACACCGACCAACACCAGCCCCTCACCCCACCCGAGAGAGCCTTCCACTTACACCCCCCCACCTGGTGAGAGAGAGAAACGCTCACCTTTACAGCTCTAGACATTCCTGGGAATGACAATCAGGCTCTGCATACACCATCAAGCAGCCCGCAGCCTATCTCGGATCCCACCTGGTCCCCATGCAGCATATGTCCCTTCTTCCAGGGGGCAGTGCTGCCCCCCTAAAAAATGCTGCCCTAGGCAAATGCCTTGTGGTAAATACGCCCCTGGGCAGGTGTCCTAGCACAATGCAGTTCTTTAATTTTACCTTATGCTGACTATAAAATGCCAAATCAATTTTCATTTGCCAACTTCCAGAAAGCTATTAAAGCGAAGTTCCAGCTGTAGAAAAAAATAAAGAACAATACAGCCACTTACCTGTCCCTTGGTCCAGTGGTGTCCTCACCACTTCTGGTTTCACTGGCCGTCTTCTCTCCCTGGTGCCGGCATCTTTTGGTGTGGGCACCCGGCTGTGACAGCTTGCAGCTCCATAGCCGGGTGCCCACTGTGCATGCGCGAGAAGAGCTGCACTTTGTGAATGGCTCCAGTCTTCTGGGACCTGTCCCAAAAGACCGGGAGGAGGGGGGGCAGCTTCTGATTGCCTATGCAATCGCAGGGGAAGTGTGAACGGGTACCTGTCAAATTTGGGCCCCCGCTCCCCAAAGATGCCAATCCTTAATGGGGAAGGGGGGACAAAGCATTAAAGCAGAACCTCCCCTTTTGGGTGGAGCTCCGCTTTAACTAGACTTAAAGTGTATGCACCTTTTTTTCACACAAGGTTCTTTTGGGTAAGAACAAAACAGCATGGTTTCCAATCATGATAGTTAACACCACTGTGCTGTGTTGGTGTGCACTGAAAAAAAATAAAGTACAGCATGCAGTACTATGCTGGGGGCCATTAGAACCTAATGAAATGTCTCTTTGACATGTCAGTAAAGTTTGCACTGAGACCAGCACTATTTCCCCCAGCAAGTGGCTGTGCATTCAGCACAGCTGATGTACTTAAGCCCTTAAGCTTTGGATGGGATGTGGAGGTCTTATATATAAGAACCCTCTATTCTGACCTGTCGTCTCTTCTCAGTTTGCCCTGACGACCATTGCTTTTGGTGGAGAAAGTGATCATTTTGAGTGGCCACCAGTATAAGTGATGAGTAGAAATCTTTCAAGAGGGGCACAAATAGCTTTGAAGAAATCCAATTTTTTTTTTTTTCTCTCTAATGCATCTCTGGTACAGGAAGTGAAGGAAAATCTCCCTAAATGGGACACAGATTGTAAAAAAAAAAAAAAAAAAAACCTGAAGGGGTCTTTTAACTGGTCCTTTTTATTTATAAAAATTTGGTAGATTTGGCTACCTCAGTGTTGCTATTTAAAATCGCTAGCAATTTCAAATCGGGCATTGTAGGAAATGTTTGCTACACAATTGGAGTAAGTGGATCCTGTGGTGTAAACTTCGGAAGTTGTAGAATTCAATCTCGCATGAACTTACAATGCTCCAGTCATGTGCAATCACTACTAGGTGTCAGGTGGGAAAAAGTACACCTTGATGGTGTACCCAAATCTGGGCTATTCTGCAGAGATTCTAGTACTTCTGGTTGTTAGTGTTTGCTTGCTTCATAGCATCTCCTGCACTTTACAAAAAGGAAGTTTGATTCATAGCCATATTCAGAGTGAGTTTATTTGCATTTTCAGTGGCAACCCATGTGCCTCAATGCAGACAGGCATTTCCATTCAGGACTAAGTATCAGGCTTCCAATAATGCCCATATCTCCAGCAATATATACTAACCCTTTCCTTCAGTTCTCTGCCACTAGTTGTAGACAATCTAGGCATAAACCAGGTATTTTTGGATAACACAAAGCATGTCTCATTCCATGGTGTGTAAGCTATAACTCCAGTAACTTGCGGAAGACTTGTGTGAAGAGTATGAGAAACTCATTTGCTAAGGGTTAGCAGGCCATTTAAAATAAAGGGGTAACATGGAAGCCAAATACATTCTAGAAATAAAACCCTGGAATAGTTATACCAACACCTAAAAAGCTAGCAAAACCATTGTGCCCAGGAGTGGTCTGTTACCTTGGGGGTCGTGTACAAAAAGAACAAACAGGAGGGTGCAAAGATCTAGTACATTACCAACTCTGGAGAACTCTGAGGAAGGAGGTACGCCTATGAAACGCATTAGATGGCCGGTCCAGCTAAGCTGCATAGAGACGCAATTCCCCTTGCTGTAGCATCTTGTGGTTTTTTTTTTTGTTTTTATGCTATTTTTACATTCCACTTCTGCAAGTATCCATTTGGCATCTATGTTTTGTGAATAGATTGTTGATAATGCTCTAGCCGTTTCTGCCCTCCCGTTTGTTTTTTTTTTTGTAGTTTTCACAAGACTTCCCTGGTGGTTGAGGAGGGCAGCAGCTACTACACATTCCTGGCAAAGTTCATTATTATTTTATTATACAGGATTTATATAGAGTCGACAGTTTGCTTAGCGCTTTACAATATGGTGGGAGACAGTACTCGAGATCCATTGTTGATCCTACATCAGTTGTGGTCATCTTCCTCTTCGGTAGACCTCTGGAAAGAGGAAAGGAGGTGCCACTAAGTGCAGTATGGTACAAAAAAAAACTTTAATGGCAGTAGAAATGCACTCACAGGAATAAATAAAGGTAAAGCATATCCAGAAAGGGGGAGTCTCTTCTCCATCCCGTAGGGAAGCCTTTATCAACCAGGGTGCCTTGAGGTTTCTTTAGGAGTACCTTGGCCAAATGTCTAAAAATTGACTAAAACATGCATACAAGGCAGCAGGTGGAACAAGCCTGCCTTTTAGTTATAAAAAGCCACAGGTTTTTATTGTGCACCATTATGACCTTCTATCCACTGGCGTCCTGACAACCAATGACATCATCAGCTGATAAGGAGGATGTCAGCTGGCTGCACAGCATCCTTTTATGACCCTCCCCTGCCCCTTTCTGTCAGTGCTGGGGCCACATTAGCTCAGTGAGGGAGAAGAGAAACACCGGAATACTGGTCGGTACCAGTGTGCAAAAGTGTATTTGCTTTGGAAGAATAAATCACCTCTAATGTTGGGTGTCTTACATGTGTGGATGTTGCTGTTAGAATAGTTTTTCACATTTTAGAATGGGGTGCCTTGGGGCTGTCTATAATTTTAAAGGGTGCCTTGACTGAAAAAAGGTTGAGAAACACTGCCGTAGGGAACAACCAGTGGAGGGAAAAAAGTCAGATGGTAGTGCTGGAAGTGAAGTCCCAGGGATGCAATTTGAAGTGGAGCAGGAAGCCACCCTGCTGACCAATATGGAACAGGGATGGATGTGACAACACCGGAGGACCAGAAGGGGATAGCAGTAATTGCAGGCTATACGCTCGGAGCCTCTAACTCCTTCTACAGGCCGCCTTCGGAGATGTCACATTCGCCCATGTGTTCCACGCTGGTCAGCAGGGTGGCTTCCTGCTCCACTTCAGATTGCCTCCCTGACCTTCACTTCCAGC